AGCCAAAGATACACAGAAGCAAGACAATTTTTGATTGCTCACATGGGAAACGTCGTCCAACACGGCTCCACCATGTCCGCTACAATGTCCACCGTTAAGGCGGAAGTGACTCCATCATAATATTATGCTGGATCATGGTAATGGATGAGGGACGAACTTAAAAAAAATGGCCCCGTATCTGCATGTTACACTGCAAATGTCGTCGAAAGACGATGGTCTTGCGTCTGGAGAGAGGGAACAAAACGTTTATTTGATGATCTGCATAGGAAAATCGGTGAATGGTGTTCTGGAGACGCTGCGTTAGAGTGCTTCGAGCGTGCAGCGGATGTGAGCGAGCGCATCAACTCACGTCACACGTGAGACATGAGCGCTATCTGGCAGTTATCTTGGAGAACGAAGCGCGTAGCTCTAAAACGAACGTGCGCGCCCGTCTCAGAGGTGATAAGGTGTGGAACGCAAGTAGGTGCCACCACCGTGTCCATTTAGCAAAGCGTTTGAAACAGTCGCCTTTTCGTGCAACGTTCCATAGTCAGCGCAGCGTTATAAACGCTATGGTCCTTAGAATTACTTATGATGCCTTTTCCAGTAAAAGCCGCACATACAGAATATATTCGTGTTGCTGTGTTGCCTCTGATATGCGAAATAATCGCTTTTAAAGACGATAGTTTTTCTTGGGGATCTTCGACGCAAAAATTTTAGCCTGTCTGTCTGTCTACCTGTCTGTCTGTCTGTTGTACATTTGTCTGTTTGTCCACCGTTAACAGTACTGGGTATCCTAAACGGCACCAAACGGTACCCCAAACGGCCGACCCATCCGCCCGTTTCAGAGCCACGCGCTTCGTTTTCCAAGATAACTGCCAGACAGCGCTCATGTCTCACGTGTGACGTGACATTATGCGCTCGTTCGCCTCCGCTGCACGCTCGAGGCACTTCAACGCAGCGCTTCCAGAATAACATTCACCGATTTTCTTGCGCAGAACATCAAATAAACGTTTTGTTCCCTCTCTATAGACGCAAGACTATCGTCTTTCGACGACTTTTGCAGTGTAACATGCAGATACGGGGCCAATTTTTTAATTGACAATCGCGCAAGTGTGAACGCTGAATCATGAGCAGTATTGGTGGGCGCTTCGGATGGGGTTGGCCGTTTGGGGTACCGTCTGGTGCCGTTTAGGATACCCAGTACCGTTAAGGGCAGGCAGGCAGACAGACAGACAGACAGACAGACAGACAGACAGACAGACAGACAGACAGACAGACAGACAGACAGACAGACGGACGGACGGACGGACGGACGGACGGACGGACGGACGGACGGACCAAAATTTTCGCGTCGAAGGTCCCCAAGAAATACTATTGTCTTTAAAAAAGCGATGTCAATATCTGTGTTTGATTCGTTGGCATCGTCTCGCGCTGCACCTAACAACGAGTGAGCGGCAACAAGGCAGTCGTATTCACAAAACGCAAGTGGCGAGGAAACGGCTCAATACTACTGCGCAGTGAAACGTTTTTTTATTGTCGAGCATTCGTGTGTCACGCGCGTGCGAACAACCACAAAACATTAATCACGATCGAGAAGAATGCTCGGCATAAGGGCTATATTTAGCAGACAGCTTACCAGATGCCGCGGGGAGGGGGGGAGGGTTCATCGCCATTCGACAACGCTGCAAACCGTATATATAGCCGATCTCGCTCGTGCGTATGTAACTGCGAAAGTACAACCGCCGTCCGCTTGCATGCAGCGTATACTTATACAGCGCAGAGCTCCGAAAAGAACGGCGCAGTTCGATAAGCCCAACTGGTTTTCCGCGCTTGTTTATTTGTCTTCTCGGTGCATGCAGGGCCGGGCTTGACCGCCGGAAGTCTCTCTCTCTCTTTTTTTTTTTTTCCAGAGTGAGCGTTTATCATCTGTATCCCGCAGCTTTCACTTGCAGCTGCACGGCCAGCCTCATTTCCAGCGTGTGCAAACATAAGGTCAGCGAAAGATCGCGTAGACTTTTGTTTATTTATTTTTGCTTGGATTCGTTTTACCCTCATCGGCGCCATTTGGTTTCGTTCTATTGTAGTGTTTTTGCGGATTTGATGACTAAAGAGGGTTTGTTTGAATTTTGTGATGTAGGCAAGTGTGACGTTTATCGTTGTAATCAACTGTAATAATAACTCTGGGCATTTTATACGTCCAGATACTACGATATGATAATCAGAGATGGCCGTAGTGGAGTGCTCCGCAAATGTAGAAAACCTGGGGGATCTTTGCCGTGCGCCCGAATATTAGCGCACGTGCCTCCAGCATCTTTAGCATCTCCAGCATCTCATTCTGTCAGCTCATTCTGTCAGCCCATTCTGTCCCGCGCCGGTTCGGGAAGCAGTTCTTAACCACCTTTTGTGGACATGCTCTGGGCTTCAAGCGGCTCGTCGACGCCGTCTGCGGCGTGCAGGACCCCAGCCCGCCTGGCAGCCTGACTTGCGGCAATGGATTAACGGTCGGAACCTCAGGTCCTTCCTCGACTTTATGGAGGAAACGAAGATCCATAATTTTGTCTAATATGCCATATAGGTCATACATCGGCAATAAAAAAAAGAAAACCCGAGCACCAAGGAAGAGGACGGAATGTGCGCTCTATGTCTTCGCTGAATGGTACGAACCAATCAGCCCAAAACTTGTAGGTCCGGAATCTGATCCTCACCTTCGGTTCAACAGTAGTCGCTCGTCGACAGCGGTCCGCCACGATAAATTGCAATAAACCGTAATCATGCAAGTACCAACGCACAATCAAGCCAAGGAAAGTGCAGGCGAAGTTAGAGATGCTCGGCGGATTTCGTGGCTGACATTGATTGATTGATTGATTGATTGATTGATTGATTGATGTGGGGTTTAACGTCCCAAAATCACTATATGATTATGACAGATGCCTAGGGGAGGGCTCCGGAAATTTCGACCACCAATGGGGTTCTTTAACGTGCACCCAAATCTGAGCACACAAGCCTACAACATTCCCGCCTCCATCCGAAATGCAGCCGCCGCAGCCGGGATTCGAACCCCCGACCTGCGGGTTTGCAGCCGAGTACCTTAGCCACTAGACACACCTCGGCGGGGCTTCGTGGCTGACAGTTGTCCCGTCCGTGAGGCCCTCTCATCGGCAACCGCTCTCTGACCGGAGCCCCATCAGCGGAATTCTCTAATCGTCTCCTGATCTTTTACTGTTCTCTCCATTTTCACTTTTCTTTTATCTCATTTATTAATTCATCCTTATCCCTTCTCCTGTGAGCTATAGTACTCATAGGTGTCGCACTTTGATGCAGGCAGTTGCGGGGCTCGTGTTTCATTTTTCCTAATGAAAAATCACTGCCTCCCCTCAGGAGGGTGGGGGTGGAGGAGGAGATATTTGCTCTTCGTGGACGATGGGCGTTTGCTTCCCATGCAGGGCGAATTTTTCTTTGCTTGTACTTGTTCGCCTTATCTTTCCATTTCTGCGTATACGCTGCATGCAGTCGCTGCATTTCCGTGATAAAAGAAGCGACTTAATTTTATTGTGCTTTTGATAGACTGATAAATTAATGTCGTTCGACTGGGTTGTGAAAGCTTCGAGACTGAATGAGAAAGTGAAGTATATGGACGTAATTTATTAAGGCGAAAACCTTAGATGCCTCATCAAACGCAAACATTAACCTTCGGCACCAACTCGAGTGACGAAATTAATCATCGCGCGATGTCGTCATCATTCTGTGACCGGTAGTGAAAACTGTCACTTATTCATGACAACATGCGGCCTGACACCGCAGATCACCAAAATTTGCGACGTCATTACATTATATCTCCGCTTCGTCAAAAGTGGAAGCAATTAGAAAAGAGATGAGGTGCAGAAAGCTTTTGATAAATCCCGTCCAGGAGACTATGCAGAAGCACGTCTCGGCCTCCATACGCAAGCCGGAACGTTGTTTTTTAAAGAGACACTAAAGAGGAACAATGACTTAGTTTAGATTGATAAACTAACTCTGAGAACTCTAATGACATATTTCTCCCTATCATAAGTTCGTTATTATCGGAGAAAATTTAGGTTGAAGATCTATTTTAAAATTTTCGCGCCGAAATCTCTGCGCGTGACGTTAGAAATTTCAAAATCACTTTTCGTATTTTCGCGACACCGACTCAATCTAATTTTCCGGAAACTTCTCATGCTAAGTCTAAGGCGCGCACCGCAGACAAGGTACTTCATTTTTATCGAGTAGAAGCTGTGTAAGACCCAGTAGATGCCTTCCAAATTTACAACGTCGCGACGTTTGGCGCGGGAATTCAACAGTGGCGTCTCCACCCACGTTTTTTTTTCGCGTGTTTTTCCGCTTACCGAGCTTCATGTCCAGGTAAGAGTATTGTTTTGGGAATCGTAAATTGGTACTTTACTGATACAAAAAATTGTTTTGCTCTTCTTTAATTAAAATGATGAAATAGGAGTGGTTGGCGCCATTATGGTGGCACCGGCTACTCTTTTTCTCTTATAGTAGCCAAGATATGCCGTAAGATCAACATTAAGGGCACAATATGCGAGACTGCACAATATGCGATGTGAAAGTACACAATAGTCATACTTCACAACTCAGTTCATATACAGCTAATAGGTTCGCATGTTCCACACATAAGGTCATTTCGCCTCACATGACAGTTCATATTCGCCTAATAGATACATATGTACACAATTTTGCTATTTAGTGCCAATTAAAGTTTTACTTCGTGGGCGTACTTCGATCGTTTCTTTCATCCAGAACCACTATAGGTGCATAATACTTTCGGAAGAGGGAATCAGCTGTATAAGATCAGGCTCAGCACGTCTGAGAATAAGACAAAAAAAAAGACTTTCGACTTCGAGCCCTCTTACGCAAATCCTTAAGGGACCCTGGAATATTTTTTTCTCTCTCTTCTCAACTTTCGGTCCATACGATTCCTCAGTACAAATAAAACCGGATAGTTAACCTCGCTTGCTGGTTTTGAGTGGGACATCCCATACGGTGAAACCAAATCAGTTTATTATACAATTTCTGAGAACATTACCACGCTCTCCCTTTCACGAAGAAGAAATATATTCAAACATAAAAGCTTCGTTCAGATTTTTGCCGTCTTATCAACGAGGTTTGCCGGAGGCTCGCCGCCTCCCCAGCGCTTGGCTAGTTTCATGAACAAGGGCCAAGGTTTAAACCTGTCGGAGGAAATGTACGTCTTGATGGGCTTCAGCTGGCGGAACCGTTCCACGTACGCCTTCAGGTTGGCGTACTCTTGCAGGCAGCCCGGCTTGAAGAGTGCGAACTGGTCGAGCAGTTCGTAGAGCATGAAGTCCACGTAGGTCAGCTGGTCACCGGCAAGCCACTTTCGGTCGCCCAGGCTTTTCGACAGCGCCTCCACGTGTCCAGGCAGGGCGTCAGCGAAGTTCCTCATGACGGTCGCGAAGTAGTCGTCAAAGCTGTAGTTGACTAGGTTCCATCTGCACGAAAAGTTCCGATTCGTGAGCGTCCTTTGTTGGTCAGGCATCGTGCGATATAGGAGCATATATATGTACAACGTCATGTCTATACGCAAGCTACGTTCACCAACGTATCGATAAGACAATGACGTGCGTACAACGTGCGGGAAGAGAAATCCGATGTAATCTGCTGTCTCATGAAATTAAAGAGTCCACGTGTACTAAACTTAATCGCAAAATGCCGGAACTCAGTGCTCACGTAATCTAAACGCGGATTATCTGCCCAGTGCAACAAAGCTGATTTTAACATCCTATAGAGGTGCTAGTCTCATAGAAAAGGTAGATAACTGCCATCACACAGAGAACGAAATCCCAGGGTTCTGTCATACCTGGTCTACAACGCAAGCCGCTCTCGTTGGGCTTTGTTGCGGCTACTTTGAGAAGTTGCACTAAATTACAAATTGTGACTGTGGTTGACCCCCCCCCCCCTCCCCACTACGCGTAAAACACAGCTATGAATAAGCTTTTGCCGACTATCCTGGGACCAATTCGTTGTCATGCGGTGGAACCTAACCCAAGCGTGGTGAAACTAAGCGAGTAAAGTGAGATATTGGGTTATTTAGTCCTTTCACATATCGGATCAGGAAAGTGCACGCATCAGCTCAAGCTCCATTGTACTAACCCCGACAGAACTCAATTTCATCAGAACCCACATATAGCAATTTTGAATCAGAACACTCGGAAAGAACTTTGAGCCATCGCCACATCTCGTATGATAGTCACCCCACTGGCAGCACCTGAAGGACAGTTCAGCAAGATTGCCCCCTCCCCCCCTTAATCGTAAACCGATCTTTCCTGGAAATCTTCTTACCTTCAAGTTCTTCTTCAATAAATTTAGTTGATAGTTTGTGCTTGTGGTGTCCACTTCATTTCGTGTCTTCTCCATAACTTTGTAATTTGCAGTAACCGCATAGCGCAGTTCGTTAATCGTCAAGCTAGGATAATCTCAAGTGAGCTTCCATGTCCCCATCCAATTTGAGTACACACCTGAGATCGTTGATCTGCGCCTCGAGCATTTCGATGCGGGCGGCCTCAACGGGCTTGGAGTCCGGTACGGCGAGACCGTGCTTGCGCGCCAGGTAGCGCATGATGGCCAAGCTCTGCACCATCTTGACCTCCCCGTCCACAAGGTACGGTAAGTTGGGAAAGCCGAACCCCTGCGCGGCCAACGCCGCCTTGTCTTCGAGCCACGCGACCTTGCACTCCTCCTTGGTGGGCTTGTCCAGCAACGGGTACGTCTTGTTCTCGTACGGCACCCCGGCGTACTCCAGCATGTACCGGATGGGCTCCACGATGCCCCGAATGCCGGCCCAGTATGCCAGGACCACCTTGGCCTTCTGGTCTTTGCTAGGAGGCATGATGACGACTCCGATTCGGTCTTAGAACCTGTCACTCTGCGAATATCGATAAGAGTGTCCTTGTGACATATTGACTCGCGCGTTTCTCTCATTATTCTTGATGTAATTGGCTACCGCTTGATAAAACTCATATCACCACAAGACAGTGCTTGGGAAATTTCTGTCTCGTTTTAGACTATTGTGGTAGAACTTCACGCACTACACAAGTAGTCTGCCCCGCCGCGGTGGTCTACTGGCTAAGGTACTCGGCTGCTGACCCGCAGGTCGCGAAATCAAGTCCCGGTTTCCGATGGAGGCAGAAATGTTGTAGGCCCGTGTGCTCAGATTTGGGTGCACGTTAAAAAACCCCAGATGGTCGAAATTTCCGGAGCCCTCCACTACGGCGTCTCTCATGATCACATGGTGGCTTGGGAACGTTAAAACCCACATATCAATCAATCATATACACTAGTAGTCTAGTTTATTTCCGAGCTAAGGCGAGCCCCAGCAACAACACTGCAATTTCAATTAATTAACGTAAGACGAAGCACTCCGCCGACGATCACTTCACCAGGAACCAACGTCTGTGATCGGCGTTTTTCGCTGCACTTTAAGAGATGAGTGTCCGTGCGGAAGACAGACGGACGGACAACGCTTCGCCCCACTCGTCATCATTCACTCTGTGGATATGCTGTGAATGTCTTATTATAATAGCGCTACCCTCTTTTCGTCATATATACAAAAACCAGTAACGCCATCTAGTGATATTATTTGCAAGGACATTACACACAACCGCACCCAGTGAGCGATTCTTAAGACTAGCTAGAAGTGGCTACTACTACAACATACTATTACGAGGGAACGACCCACACCCTTTAGGGAACTTCGCCCATAACAAATTTTAAATTTGAACCAGTGACCCGTTGCTCCGCAGCCCGCTGCGCTAGCCAACACAGCCATGCGCCAGGCTTGAGCCGGTGTTATAACGGTGAGCTATCCATGTGCACCATTTAGCGCTCGCGGTACGCAGATGTCAGAACAGCTTGAGCGTACTTTCTATCACCAAGACTTTTGCATTTTCTTTCAAGCTTAAACCAGCCCTTGAGACGCGCGAAGAAAACGTGGCCCCCTTCTGTACCGCTCATGCATGATGTAAAAAATAAAAATAAAAAAAAAACACGAGAGACACTAGGGGTCAGACGCCACGCGTGGCAGGAGACACAGACGGGTCATTCCACATGCCGCGGTTTAAAAAATCACCATATTCATGGAGTGAATAATGATGAGTGGAGCGAAGCTTTGGAGAGTTTTATCGGTATACCGTGAATTGTCTGTCTGTCTGTCTGTATGTCTGTCTGTCTGTCTGTCTGTCTGTCTGTCTGTCTGTCTGTCTGTCTGTCTGTCTGTCCATCCGTCCGTCCGTCCGTCCGTCCGTCCGTCCATCCGTCCGTCCGCCCGTCCATCTAGTGAACACTTCAAGTACCACCATCTCGCATTTTTCATCATAGATTCATTAAATACAGGTGCCGCCATCTAGCGCGCATTCGAAGAACTAAACTAGAGGTGGATACTTACAACTGCATACATCAAGAACGCATGACCCACGGCTTAAGAAGCTTCGCCCCCCCCCCCCCCCAAAAGCAAATTCAAACAGCGTCGGTTTTGTATTGTGGACATGTCTAGCGTTTTCTTCAAACAAATACAAATACGTAACAACTGTGACGATTCCTTGTTAGTTCACACTTGTCGGCGTGTTGAAAGTATCGAGCTGCTTGCCGTTCTTCGTGTGATATTTTAATTTCTTGATGTCGCACTCACTAGTTGCGATACTGTGTTATCACTGAGACTTAAGTGTTACTTTTCTTACATGAAGCACAAGTTTACCCGATAAAGCGTTTAATCTTTACCGACTGCGTGTTGCCTTCTTCATCGTCACAACCACGTGACAACATTGTTAAGATGCGTTTTGTATTTTCAAAGATAGTCTTTCACCACCGCGTCTTTAACGGTAGACCTTTGATATCCTTGTCTCATTTTGAGGGGAATGGGGACCTGATTAGTTCCTTGAGAATAGAGCCATTGTGGTGCGAGGATCTTACATCAATTCCCAGCACTTTGCTTTTTGTAGCAAGAATTTGCCATCTCGCCCCGCCGTTGTACTGCCTTATTTTCTTTCTTAACGCACGTTTATCTGCCCCTTAAATGTTGTGCGTCTTCTCGCTCTTCGACATAGTCACATGGCAACTCTTTCTCCTTTCTTTCCCTGAAACATAGACTCTATATTCTGTTCATCTGGCAGGCTTAAAGAGTAAACTAATGATGTGATATATAGAAGTTACGACAACCTAACTAAAACGTGTGGACGCTGCATCTTTGTTTGTTTCCTTTCTATGATCTCGTTAAGTCACACTTACTCGTGCTTTCTATCGTATACCGACTTTAAAAACCCTCTTAAAAAGAAATTCTGTTACCTGGTACTCCGACAGCAATAATAAATTATAGATAGATATGTAAACTTTATATAAACTTTTATATACACTGCTTCGACAGGCACAGCATGGGTACAATTTTCGACCCAGTGGTTACACTTGGTGGAACACTTCCTCAACTTCCGCAATGTCTATGATTCCTGGCCATTCGTTATTTCACTCTGACAATGTCTTACAAGCACGCACACGAGTACATACGCGAGAGATAGATAGATGGCTGGACAAAAGGCAAGTGTGCGCTGGCAGACGGGGTCCAGGTACGGAATCCACTGCCTAGAGCATGTAGTTCATCAAACAATACATTCTGTTATAGAGAACATAAAAGAGTACCTAAATACTGACATCCATTCGTTTGTATACAATATGCATTTGTCCCCCGCACTTCAGTATTTCACAGGCGTAAAGAACAACTTACCCAACTCGACACTGGAACAAATGTTACCTTACGTTCCCAGTGGCAACGTCGAACCTCCGCCCAGCTTCTTTGCCGCTCCGAGGCCGTTTCTCGCCTCACTCGAGCAGTATTCCTTATCAAGAGGCTCCCACTCAGCAAACCGTCTCTGCACGAGAGGCCACCGTCGATTTCGTATGGGTCTCTATAGTGCGTTCCCTACCTCCTCGTAGATAACCTCTTATCCGACGTTCATGAATTTCGCGCCGCTATCGTCGGCGGCGTTCGAGACTGGGCACAGTTGTATTCTCGGAACAATTGGCCCGTGCGTGCGAGAGGACGAGAGGGCTACTAGACGCACCTCTTTCTACTGCGGTGCCCTCACCCATGGAGGCTCGTTTGACGGACCTTCCTGCTAGACCAAGGTCGACGCGATCGCTGAAAGCAGCTGGGGGCAGGCACGGCTGCAACGGAAGATGTCGCAATGCTTTGGTAGTTGCCCGAATGCCGCCGGCGTGTTTCCTCGTGGGACCTATTTCATGCGCGATGGCTTTGAACCGTTTCATAAAAATATCATTAAAAGACTCCAAGGAAACGAAACATATCACGCAAAACACTTCATGAAAAAAAAAAACCCGTATCATTCGAACAGTTCGAGGTTATCTATCCCAATGCATTAAATAATGAAGATTGAAACTGGAGTAATAAAACAGTGAAAAAGAGATATATAAACAGTGTATTAAGTGTCATTGATAAGTTATCGTAGAATGTAAGAGCAAGCTTTTTGCATATTGTTTGAAACAGAGTGCGTAAAGGTCTATGTCATTCCTCACAGTGTTATATCCTAGGGGTACTTAATATTGTAGGTCCTGGCGTCCGTAGTTCGTTCCTGTGAGTGGTGGCATTGTTGTTTGATGGCATAACTGACACCGTGGAGATAAAATTGGTGTACAAATAATAGGAAGTTTCTGCTTTTTATGAGCAATAGCAATCTATAATAGTAAATTTGATTTGCTTGCATCAATGAATGTTTATTAAAATGATTGTGTGTGAAAAAGTCTCGTGGCCTACCATTATAGTTTTCGAAACTTCTCATTACCTTTTCTTTGCGGTTTTATTAAATTGTCGTAATTTTTTACAAGTGGTTGTTTCCCAGCCTCATGCACAATAACTAAGTTTTGACTAGAAAGGTGCGTAGTACATTGCCTTCTTTAGTGGTAGAGGTATAAGGCTACTAGTTTTATATATAGATCCTGCTACTTTGCTAATGTCACTGCTGAGCTTATCTACATGATAGTCCCAAGAGAGAGGCTCGCAGAACAAGCCCAGGCTTCTTGTTCGATGACGCTTCTTCTGATCTAAAAAGCAACACACACACACACACACACACACACACACACACACACACACACACACACACACACACACACGCACACACACACACACACGAACTCCAACAACTCAAGTGGGGGAAATACACTGCTGCTGCATATCGACCTGCTCATTCCTGAGAAGCTAACAAGTTTATTTATTACAGTTTCATGCTGCACACACTAGGTTTCACCCATGTTATTTTTTTTAACTAATTGGCTTTTTCAAATAAAAATAAAAATTTGGGAAGTTTCCCCTCTTCATTTATGTTAGATTGGCTTGAGCCCGTTATACCTCCTGGTGGTACGGGCTACCCCCCTTTTTACTTTTAGTTATTTTTACATATAGGGGGCGGAAAAAGCACACACACACACACACACACACACACACACACACACACACACACACACACACACACACACACACACACACACACAGCGCGCGTGATTTTTATTTTTTTATAACTATAAGTTGTTAAATGTAAGTTCTATTTGTCTTATACCTTGTGGGTATTAACTCTCATCGCATTCAAACACATTTGCTACAGGCTCGCTTTGCGGCATGTCTCTCCGGTTTCCATGAAAATGAAAATGAAGGAACCACATGGCGATTTAATTAGGTGCTCCCCACCGATCGCAAGTGAAACGTTGTGATTCACACGTGCCGTGTAAATATAATGTCAAGCGCAGTAATCAATCCCTGCTTTGAGCCCCGTCTGCACACTGCAGTATCAGCCCTTGGCAGCCCATAAACTTTGCTACTGCTCGGGAAGGGGAAGCTGGTACAATTTTCAAAAGGTCACGTGTCAACGGCCATCAATAAGCAGCGCCCTATACTTTGCTTAGAGTCAGTGTGGTTGCATTCAGTACTGTAGGCCCTATAGGCACCTTTCTGAACGAATGAAGCGTGTTTTGTACGGCCAATCGTGCGCTAGGTCATCCTCCCCTGTCTCTCAATAAAGGCTCGCTTGATCGATTGATTGATTCATATGTGGGGTTTAACGTCCCAAAACCACCACATGATTATGAGAGACGCCGTAGTGGAGGGCTCCGGAAATTTCGACCACCTGGAGTTATTTAGCGTGCACCCAAATATGAGCACACGGGCCTACGACATTTCCGCCTCCATCGGAAATGCAGCCGCCGCAGCCGGGATTCGATCCCGCGACCTGCGGGTCAGCATCCGAGCGCCTTAGCCACTAGACCACCGCGGCGGGGCAATGAAGGCTCGCGTGGTTCGTTATACAGTAAAAGTGTATATAGCTAAGGGCTGGGAAAATATGGCAGTTCATAAGAGTGTTATGGTATGATGAACTGTTTTCAGGCCCTGAAGGTCGATGTTAAGGTGGTGGTGGTGGTAAAAACACTTAATAAAAAAAATATCGGCAGATCCCACGAACCTGGCAATCGACGTTATGTGAAGCAGGCGGAGGGAAGCTCTTTATTGCTATCGCGTTAATGCAAGAAGGTCGAAACCGTCGATACCGTTTTGCGATACTGCACACAAAAAGCATCCAACTATGGGTAAATTAAGAAACAAAGAACAGGATTATATCAACATAAGAATAGCTTCCAGTATCCCAGAAGTATGAGGGTGTGGGTATAGGAGTGGGAATCAGTGCTTGTATTCGAAAAAAAAAAAGCCAAGATAAGATCTCAGGCTCGCAGAAAAAAAAAGGTAACAAAAGAAAGAACTACAAAGATCGTCCGGTATCCCTTTTGTATCCTTCGGCTGGGTATGTTTCTTCACATCGAGTTCTATATCCGTCATCATCAACAATTTAAATTTTGGGAAACGCATGCTTTTTTTTTTTTTTCAAGTTATCGGTACTGGCTAGCCGTCTTTTTGCTTTATATAATATAGCCTTTTCAGCTTCGGTCTATCGTATACTGCTGTCGTGAGCGCGACTCATAGAACAAAAAAAAAAAAAAGAGACAGAAACAAAGCAAAAGAGGAAGAGAAGCCTTCTCGTCTAGTTTCTTTTCTTTCGACCGCGATCGTAGTGTATGTAGACGTAGAGCCCGCAATGAGCGTAATCGGGATTGACTGACTCCTGCGCAACTACGCCCATGAAAAACGTACGAAAAAAGAAGAAAAAGAAACGCGCTTACACAAAAGTAAATAATATGTGGACAGGAACTCACTACAGAGTCAATGGAGAAAAGAGAAAGCCGCTTCGCTTTGCTTTCATTATGGGACGCTGTGTACGCTGCCCTCGACGAAGAGTGGGCATCGCAATGGCCTCTCTATATGCCACGCGCCGTGCATGACGACACACTGTTTGTTTTACTTTCGGCTCGACGTGGGCTTGAGTGGGCGGACGTAATGAGAGAGACCGAGCTCTTTAGAGTCTGACAGGCGCGTTTGTTTGTTTCTTTCTTTGTTTTTTTTTTCTTCTCACATACGACCGTATTTTTATTCTTCGTTTTTTTGCGAACCGGGCGCGCGTCGTTTGTGTGGCAAATGGCGTCCTGCTGTCGAATACGAGGTCGTGGGTTCGCTTCCTTGCATTGCCGTAACGTGAATTTTGGTGTCGGAACAAGGCAGTGCCCATACGGAGGGCGAGGTTTGTGTGTATTCCTCAAAGAACGTCAAGCGATGGAGATTACATGCGGGAACACTCCCGCGACGGCGGAGAATTTATTATGCGGCGCTGAAATCAATCAATCAATCAATCAATCAATCAATCAATCAATCAATCAATCAATAAGTCAGTCGGTCGGTCGGTTGGTCGGTCAACCAAGTACCGTTAGTCTATCTAAACGCCAACCTCGTTGTTTTCATTAACAGATGTGCGTTGAACAGTCAACGATCTGTACACTGCTCTCACTCTTTTGAAGACGAACACAGCGCGTGAGCGGGTCGAGTCAGAAAGCGAATTGAGATCAAGGAGATCAAGGATCAAGGAGATCAAAGATCAAGGAGATCAAGGATGAGATCAAGGATTGCCCGACGGAACTGTGGCTCTGTGACGGGCTGAGATTAAAGTGACGCCGAGCGTCGGGATGGGACGGCAATAAGCAGAGTGAAGGATCTGAAAAGTATGATGAAGTTGACTTAGGCTAATTGAAGTTATTGGCATATTTTAAGACAACATCTAAGCAGCGCAAAAAAAAAAATTATCCCTGCATCCTGTCTGTTTGTCTCGTCCAACGTCGTTCTTTTTTTTTTCATTTATTTAGCCCTAACTAGGTATATGCCTTCATAGGAAACAGTTCCCGTGCTCTGCTCGCACGACTTGATTCCGATTCCATGCGCCTTGTCTAAAGCAGGTCAGACTGAGTCCATGCATCCGTGTCCAACATCAGGTTATGAACGATAACTCAGCTCGTTCGGACGTTCTCTCAGCCTAACCAGCTAGTGTTCCCATGAAGGCTACAGACGAATTTCAGCCCGAGAAGCTGGGCCGACTATTGATTTCATCTGAACGCCGTTATATTAGGAAAATAAGGCAGCGCAAACGACAGCAACGACAACCACAACAACGGCGGCGGTGGCGGTGATGACGACGGCGACGACAACAACAACAACAACAACAACAACAACAACAACAACAACAACAACAACAACAACAACAACAACAACAACAACAACAACAACAACAACGCCGACGACGACGACGACGACGACGACGACGATGACAACTGCAGCGACAATGACAAACACCACTGCAACACTTTGACAGAAAAAAGGGAAGCATAGGATGCCCTATCCTGTCGCCTTCTTTTTTCGTCCATGTAGGTTGTGTCCTTGGTGTTTCTTCTACCAACTAGCCCAACAAAAAGTTTCAGTAAACTACGACAACCACGATAGCAACAATTGCCATGTTTAGGCCACCATCCAAGTCTTTGCATCTCAGATTTGGGTGCACATTAAAGAACCCCAGGTGGTCTAAATTTCCGGAGCCCTCCACTACGGCGTCTCTCATAATCATATAGTGGTTTTGAGACGTTAAAACCCACATATCAATCAATCAAGTCTTT